ACCTTGGTGAAAGGTGTGCTCACGTGCAATTGCTGTTCTGGAGAATTGTTTACTGTGTTTTCCGTTGCAATTAGATTGATTTTTACCTACACTCTTAGACTTTTACCGACAGAAACGTGAAATTTCGTTATTCATCATTTAATGGAGAATAGGCCCCTCCACCGATTTTTGAGGAGGATAAGGTTACTTGATTTCACATGCGGATGCTTTTATCATAATTTTTGAGCACGACGTGGCACACACAGATTACCTCATGTCAAAGCGATGAAAATCGTGCACAATTGGTAGGGAGTTAAGCTCTGAACCTAGCAGGCTTATCCTGCGCTCAAAAGGTAAAAGCAGTTCAATTCCTGGGGAAAAAAGAAAGCGCAATGAGACACTACCCGGCTACATAGATTAATTGCTGGAAAACTATAGTAGTTGAAGTCCTAAGACGGCAAGGCTGTTGCGCTGAAATCTCAGCTCTTTTGCAGGGAAAGCATATGTTCTTCGAATTTTTCAAAGTGGACGATACATGGCGCATACCAGGACACTACCACTTGTGCATACGCCAATTACAATGGCGAATAGTGGTGAAAAGTTGCAAACCTTGAAATCATTGATGGTCTCCCATGTGAGTCGTCCTTGATTCTCGACCACGATCTCAAGCAGGTCGTTCCTTTTTAATGATAGCTGCAGCTTGCTGACTTCATGCGGTTTGTAGTGTGGGCTGATCCGGCCCTGTAAGTATAGGCCTAAGAGAGCAGTCAGCCACTTTCAAAAAAGCGAAGAACTGACTTTGAACTGCTTATTCACGAACACGTAGCCAAAATCCCTGACACCACTACCGTCCAGCTCACTTCCACCGATGTTGAGACGAACGGAGTATTTGACGAATCCCATCGCCTGATCCAGCTGGAACTCTTATGTACAGCACAAATTGGGAAAAGAGGGAACTAAGCAGGACCTCCTCGAACGTCTTTGCCAGAGGGTTCTGCACACATTGGCTTGAACTGATTGTCTCCGACTCGAAGTCAAACCAGTTTCCAATTTTTGTCAATTCCAATTCCTGATTGCGCGAAGGTCCTATATAGTTTATCTATTCATTTTATTAGACACCATAACCAATAAATGCAAACAAATACACTGAAACATTTTATAAACAAACCCTATTGATCCTCGATTTTCTTTGACTTCTTACTTCACTACAAAAATCGACGATTCTGCAGGGTTTCTCAACTGTTATCCATAACATCTATAGGGTATACGAGTGCGAATCAGTCTCATCGTCTGATCTATGCATCTATATTCCCGCCAATCACTCGTCATGCTTATTTCCAAGAGCTCCTCAGGCATGATCCAAGTATGATGTGGACCCCCATGTGTGCATAAAAGAATATCCGGGACTCTGAGTGGAAAGGTTCAGCAATCCCATGGAAGCAAAGGTACTGCTATTTACCGTTATCAGCACGACTCACGGAGGTTTAGGTGGCAGTGGTTTTGGTGGATTTGGCCATCCACTAATGCCGGAGATGAAATCACGAATGGCGGTGTATTTGTCATTGTAGTCCCCGTTCTCGGTCATTGGTGCAAAGTAATCGTAGGAAGTTATAAGCTGAAAATGGAAATACTCGGTCGGTAAACGTTAGGTACTATTTAACATGTCGCCTTACTCCTGCCGCATATTCGGCCCCATTCCAAAAACCGAAGTTGGTACCGCCGTGGAACATGTAATAGTTAAAAGATGCGTTGAGATTGTACAGCTTTTCCGTCAGCTCCAAAACTGAAGGGAACCAGTCACTTTCGAAGATGAATTGGCAAATAAATGGCTTCTGAAGATGGATAAAAAATTGAGAAATGTGGAATCAACTCACCTACTGAAGCACTGGAATCCTCTTTCAATACCCTTCTCTCCCCAGGTACGATACCATCCCGTATAGAATTCGGAGTCCACACGCGGACCACCTTCTGAAATAAAGGAATTATGACTTTCTGAAAATTATAAAGCAATAGCAAGAAAGAACACTTCAGGAACACTTGACCGATGTCTTTCAAAATGCCATTCTCTACAAGATTGCACATGAATATGTACTGAATAGCATTATAATGAATTGTATTTATAATTAGTGTAGTGCTCTATTTGAGGACGAAGTTGGTATACCGATAGTTGCGCCACTTTCCACTCACACAGTCCGTTGAATCCAGTCTTTCCTCGCCCCTGCTAACCAAACAACCAGCCAAGGTTTCAGTGACTCCGGTCAGCTATTTGTAAGAGATAATAATAATGTTATAGATAAGATACTGGTCTAGAACTACAAACATACCACCTTGCACGTTGGCTGGTCATATCGCATTCAAGTGTTACTACGGTAGATAACGGGAGTAGAGTGCATGGCGTATCCCCAACAGAAATGCTGATCCAATGCACTTCTTTATCGTTGCAAACGTATAGATAGTGTAGTGCCGTAAGCTGTTGGGTGCGCAGTTCAAATGAGGACATTTTCCCCTTTGTCAATCTAGCCCTTTTTTATCAGTGGGGGCGGCGGAAAGAATACTAGGTCACCGTACACGAACTTTCTTGTTAAGGCCGACCTGAAAGGCCCACCCGTTGCTTTCGAGCTATTTAAGATTATTCGCGTTCGAAGAAGAAATGTGTGTGCACCCACTGTTCTTGTTGGCATCCGCTTGAATTTTGAAATATTCGTCGGCAAGAATCAGCCCTCGTTCACCGAAATCCACAGTCGCATAGACGCCGCTGATCACTCCGCACGCGATTGTTTCAGGCGGATCGGCTGAAAGTAGACTGAATCATCACAAAAACCAAATTTACTCGAATTGGCCGTCATAAGAAAATAATTCCTGCCGTCTGGGCACGCGGTAGCAGCATTTGCACTGCGCCGGTTTTGATGATTGTAGGGATGGCACAGAATAACCTTTTTGACGACGTGAGCGGATGGCCCGGGTCCCTAAAGTCTCTCGTGCTCCCCATTGCCGGCTTTTCCGGATGAGAAACTCGCATATGGGAGAAAAACCAACCCATACACTAGGTATACCCCAATCCCAACTGTCATCCATTTTCATACATTCAATAAGGTTCGATCGATTCAAACTTATTATACTTGCTACATTGCATATGTGCCAATGGATACGTAATGCTCAAGTACACAGGGATCGTGGCGCTCCTCCCTTTATTTCTATGCACGAAGCTTCTATTCCTCAAAACATCGAGCTCACTCGTGAAAAGGACGGTATCATTTCCAAGTTTCTCAATAGCTTTGTCTCGTAAAGCATGAAGATAGACGTGATCACATCCAAATCCACCGTACTCGTTCTCGATCTGAAATCGAGTCTATTCACGTGGAAACTCTCGACGAACTTCAAACACTTTGCGGACGCGTTCACCTGGACCATTATCACGGGGCCATTATTTTGCCATAGATACGGCCTTATCATAGGCAATAACACGTCCCACCAGGCGAGAGATTCGCGGAGAAAACTGAAAACCTAATAAAAAACTGCTGAGTGGTGAAGTTGAGAAAAACCCTATCATACTTGGGATCCGAAGCTCCGCTGTGTGATATTCGGATATTTGAGCAGCCAATACGGTAAGCCGCCATTCTCCCATTCGCCACAGATGTACGGACCTGGTCGAACGATTACCGCCAATTCATTTTGAGCGGCCAACTCGAAAAATCGTGAAAAATTTCGCATCCCAGTGAAATCGTATCTAAACAACTAATTTTTTCCTAAATCGACTAACCAGGGGCCGTAAGGTATGCTTCCCTGAACATGAGAGGGACGCCTCCCTGAAGGTATGCTCTTCCTGGAAACTGTCGGGGAAGACCACGCCCACTAGTTTCCGGGGATATCTCCCCGTGATTGCCTTCACCCGAGAGTTTTCGGGGGTGGGAGCGGCGATTAATGTGTATCAGGGGAGGGTGTCTGTGGGGTCTGCTTACGGGGCCTTTAGGCTGGCTCGCGCGATGCCATTGATGTCTCTAGGCTAATAAGCGAGTACTTGTTTATAGCGGCTAGATATTAGCCTGCCTTAGAAGGTTCAACGGCTAAAATTGACGCGTTATAAAACGCATAGCTCTGCAGTTCTGAAATCTTGTACGCGGCATGCAATCTTAGTAAATTGTTACATTACCAGATCTTAACTTCTTAACCTATTTGTCTTTGTACGTGTCATGCGAAATTCCAGGGGAGATAAGTTCTCGTGATAGCGTTCCAGTCCGCTGGCGAATAGTTCAAGTGAGAACTATCCATTGCGTCGGGATGCGTTCGAAAAGTAATTGCCATCGATCCGGAAATATTAAAAATATTGGCACGGCTAGGACATCATGGTTTAGTTACAACACGAGACATTTCTCTTTCTTTCAGAGCTCAAAAATTAAGTGTTTCTTAGGATACGATGACATTGTACGCATTTTTGTTGGAGGTGGGGCAGTGGCTAGGGCGCTGAAACCATGTGCATAGACGGCAGATGGAACACTCCATCTTATGACGGTGACCAATGAGTTCGCTTGACCATTCACGCTTTTACCGGGTTTCTGAGTCACGAGAGCGAGGACAGCCTTAGTCAAATACATTTTAGGTTAAGAGTGCTGCGTTTATAGATTATGTGTTAGAGAAGCGACGTTTTTGAGAAAGTTGCCCTAACAATTTCAAGTTGAACGTAAATATGAGCCTATGCCCCTTTGCAGTAGGTATCGTTCGGAGGCAATGCAATGTGAATTTCTTTAACTAATGACAGTGAAATGGTAAGCTAGGGGTCAAGCAGCACAATGTTAATTCATAGCGTAAAGGGCTTTTAACCATAAGAAATGAATGCTCTAAAATCAGAGTCACTAACCGAAATGGTTTGCCATCCTTTCAAAAATTGATTGTTCTCGTAATCAATGGAGAAGCTGCGTTGAGTAACGACAGAATTAAGCCCAACAGCGAGCAGCCAAAAGTAGTGGCGGAGACCGGTCATATAAAATGGCCTATCGGTGATAGGCGCTCCCCAGTTTTTATGTGAGGAACTGCTCTTTAGGACTTCTTTTATCATTGATACAACTTCGACCTTCAACGCAGATACCTTCGTTTTGGGAGTGCCGCGGTGTTGTGTGGTATAATGGCTAAGGGCGCAGCTTTCTACCACACGATTTGGAATGCGGGTAGAATCCTGCTTAGCCATGCCTGGCACTCATCCGAAGTCGACTGTGGTACCACATTAGCCTGAAATGTATGTAGTGGTTTTTGGCAGCTTATGAGGCCATGCTAGCTCTCCTTAATTTGAATTTAATTCCAAGACCTTTTTTTTTCTGCGGAGATTATTACGATCATGGAGCGGATGTGATCGTCCACTAAAAGACAAATTAAGATGTCGGAGAAGTGCTATGGATCCCATAGGTAGCCATAAATTGCAATGAATTTGGCAGAGAAATGGGTCCTGAGAAATGGGTAAAGTCTCATCCCCTATTCGTTCTTCCATGGCACACATATCGGAAAAGTTCTGTAAGCGGTCATTTGTAATTTGACGATTGTCTTTCAGCATTAATTAATTTTAATTGACGAAATTTTCGTATTGAAAGGTTCCAAACAGGAGTTGCTATTGGAATTTAAAACGTTTATAGAAGCTAACGAATGTTCGCCAGCATAGGCATTTTTATTTGATGGAAATCTTCTGTGAGAGGCGCACAAATTTCACTATAGGAATGAAATGCATTATTGGCAGGCGATTGTCGTTTAATTTACGCGACAAATTTCTGTGACTGAAGTGAGCTGTGTGCCAGCAGGCCCTCTGTCAACTCTGAAAGGCGCTCTTCAGTCTAAGCAGTCCATCGGGGCATGCTGCATTGTTTCGTAGGCTTTATTAAGAAGAAGTGAGAAATTTGGAACTGCATGCAGTAGTGCTTTGAAGGAGCTGGCTTCACCTTCTGTAATAGTTAATTTGGAAACAATTGAGCTGGATTCCATGGATTTCACCTGTCACCAATCACTCGTTCTCTCGCTGACCATCGAATTACTCTCGCGGAGTCAGCGTACGTCAGCAGATCTTCAGGGTGGGCAAGAATTACGGTGACAAGAGGTTTCCGCTCTCGATTTCTAATTTTAAACGCCGGAGTTTTTGATGTATATTCTATGTATTCATTTTGATAATTCAGTGTTCCATCTTTGATTTCCTCACATGAAATATATCAACTCCGGAATGGAACAATCTTCCCACTCCTCGAGAAGTAGTCTCTAATTCGCTCCAACGAGCTGTTCGATTGTGCTCCATTATAAGACGATTCAGAAGCTTGGTATCCGTTGACCACCATTACAAAGTTCAACGGGCTATTTACCGGCATAATAAGCCTCAACCTGAAAAGCTTGCTTGCACGACTTCACGAGTAAAATTTCAAAGATGCGTGCAAAGAGGAGCTGAAGGCCAGCTTGCTCATTCCGTCGTTTGGTCGCTGAAACTGCTATCGAGCGTGCTTGCTTACAATGCCTTATTTTCACTAATCTTGACTGGAAGTTTCACAAGCATGAAGATACTTCAACCGATGCGTGGAATTGAACAGAATGCAAAG